GATTAGGACAGTGCTAGTGAGGACGACGATGATGATGAACACGACGATGATGATGACGATGATGATGACGATGATGATGATGATGACGATGACGATGATGCTGATGATGATGATGATGATGATGATGATGATGATGATGATGACGAGGATGACGATGATGATGATGATGATGATGGTGCTGATGCTGCTGCTGATGATGATTTTGATGATGATTCTGGTGATGATGGTGATGATGCTGGTGATCCTAAGGCTGATGTTATTGATTATGAATGGTGATGATGCCGATGCTGACGATGCTGATGATGCTGCTGCTGATGATGGTGATGGTGGTGGTGGTGGTGGTGGGGATGATGATGATGATGATGATGATGATGATGATGATGATGATGATGATGATGATGATGATGATGATTCCGTCGTCACGACGATGATGATTATGATGATGATGATGACGATGGTGGTGGTGGTGGTGGCGATTGTGATGGTGATGCTGATCATGCTGATGATGACGATGATGATGATGCTGCTGCTGCTGCTGCTGATGATGATGATGATGATGATGATGATGATGGCGATGGTGACGAGGATAATGATCATGATTATGATGCTGATGCTGATGCTGCTGCTGCTGCTGATGATGATGATGATGACGATGATGATGATGATGATGATGATGATGATGATGATGATGATGATGATGATGATGATGATGATGATGATTCTGATTCTGATGATGATGGTGATGGTGATGGTGATGGTGATGGTGGTGGTGGTGGTGATGATGATGACGACGATGACGACGACGATGACCCTGAGAGGGGGCCGCTCTGTGAGGGGCCCCCTCCGCGATCCCGCGCATTCCTGGCTGCGCAGCGCGGACAAACCTGCCGAGTGCCCGTGCGCCTCGGCGCGCGCGCGTGGGCCTGCGGCACCCAGTGCTTTCCGTGGAGGGAGCGGAGGGGGGGAGGCCAGGGGGCTCCTCCAGGTCCTTGCGCCGTGCGGCGACGGGCACGCCGCGGCGTGGCGCGCCGCACCTGGGGCCCTCGCCCGCCGAGCAGAGCCTCGGGCTGGGCCCGTGCAGAGCACGTGCACGGACCGACTCGCGGCCCCCCCGCCACCGGCGCGCTGCCTGCTTCAGCCTCGCCTCGGGGGCATCCAAGAGGAGGGGGGCGAGGGCCAAGTGGGGGGAGGGTTCGCATGTGGCCCCCTAGCATGATGCCTCCCAGCTTTCACGGCACCCCTCTTCTTTCCAGGTGCTCCCGGGTCCCCTCCTCGTCTGCTCGCATGCCTCGGGCCACGATGCGCGCCTCCCTCTCCCACGCCGCCCTCTCGGATGCCCCCGATCGCCGCCGAGCTCTGAGCATGGCCAGCCGCTCGGGCTTCCGCTCCGCTCGGGCGGCCGCCACGACAATGTGCGCGGGCCCGAGCCTCGCCAACTTCGCCTCCTGGGCGTGCACGCTGCCGTCGACCGCGGCGTCGACGTCGCGCTGAAGAAGGCGGGCCTCCAGCCTGCTGCTGGTGCAGCGCCGCCACGAGCCACTCGCAGCACTCGTCGCCGAAGACGGCCGTGGCCTCCGTCGCCGCGCCCAGCCCGCCGGCCCCGCCCAGCTCCTCCTCGGCGCCCTCGGCGTGGTGCTGGTTCCTGCCGTGCTTGGAGTCGGCCTGCTGGTGCCCGTCGGTGCGGCTCCGCGCCCTGCTGCCGGTGCCCGTCGTGTCCCTCGCCGATGTGGGGCGGACAGCCCGGCGCGCCCACCGAGTGGGGGCCGCAGTGCTGCTCTCTGTCGACCTTCGGCACGCCCCCTTCGAGCTCGTCCAGCTGCCCCGCGACGCCCACGGCTTGCTGTTGGTCTCCGTCCCGCTCTGGCGCCCGTCCTGCTGCTCGCCGGCGTGGTGCTCCCCGCACCTCTTCGTCGGCCGCCTGGAGGTCGGCGGAGTGCTGCTCGCCCCCAGCATCTCGCCCATCGGCGTGGGCCAGTTGAGACCACGGCGGCCCTCCCACCCGACCCAACTCCGCTCAGCGTCGGTCCCCGAACCTCTCCGAGGGTCCAGCCCGACCCGCTCCTCGAGGCCGATCCTGCCGTGGCGACGGGAAGCGCTCAGGAGGCCCACAAAAGGACGACAAGCGTCCAGGAGGCCCGCCGCTGTCCTGACTGGCCTTAAGTCGGGCCTGTCCCTCTACAGGGATATTCCAAAATGGTCAAGAGATAGTCGGGGGACGATTCTTGACTATTTTGGAGCCCTCTGGGAGCACTTTTTTTGTGTTTTTTACCTCGCCCCGAATCCCCGTGTAGGGGGACACGCCCGACCTAAGACTGGCCCTCCTCCGATGCGTTTGGCTGTGTTTCGCTTCTTCGCAGCAGCGTTTGGCTGTAAGTTTCTCGCACGTTGTCGTTCGCAGCAGTCGCACCGGTCCTTTTCGACGTGCCAGCGTGCTCAGCACGCCTGTCGCCCGTTTCTGGGCCGCCCCCCCCGGGCGTAGACAGCTGAAGCTGAACCTGAATCCTCCGATGGCCGCCCTCCTGGCCCTCCTCCGATGGCCGCCCTCCGATGGCCGCCCTCCTCCGATGGCCGCCCTCCCAGCCGTGCGTCCCGACGCGCGGCCTCGCGGCTTGGGCAGGACGCCGCGGCCACCAGGGCGAACTCCGTGCGATCTGTATGGCTCCGCAGTGGGCCATTTTTTTTTGTCGCTCTCGATGCAGACGGGCTTGCCTCTAACTGGGTGCCGTTCTGCCCGTCTGTCCGCCTCTCGCTGTCTGCTTCTCTCTCTCTCTCTCTCTCTCTCCCTCTCTCTCTCCCTCTCTCTCTCTCTCTCTCTCTCTCTCTCTCCCCCCTCCCTCTCTCTCTCGGCCTCCCGAGCCGGGTCCGCCTGGGGGGGCCAGCGTCAGGTCAGGCGTTCGCCCTCCGCAGTGCAGCCGCCGAGGCCGCCGCCGCTGCGCGCCCCGCCGCCGGCGCCCTCGGCGCGCGCGCCGCCCCCCTCGCGGGGGGCGCCGCGGGCCTGCAGTGGCCTGCGCGCCTGCCGCCGCCGAGGCCGCCGCCGCCGCGGGGGGGGGGTAACACCGGGCTGCCGCCGGGACCCTCGCAGAAGTCGGAGGGCACCAACTACACACCAACACCGATCCTGGCCCAGGATCACCCTGGGCCCAGGATCGGTGTATATGCCTTCTTGCCCAAGGCAGGAGGGCGTATACACCGATCCTGGCATCCTGGGCCAGGATCGGTGTTGGTGTATAGTTGGTGCCTTCCCAAGAAGCGCGCGAATGGACGCTCAGATTGCGAGGAGAGAGCCTCCCTGAATATCAGCTTGACAACTCCCAGAGTCTGCCGCCGCGGGGAAACACCAGGCTGCCGCCGGGACCCTCGCAGAAGCGCGCGAATGGACGCTCAGATTGCGAGGAGAGAGCCTCCCTGAATATCAGCTTGACAACTCCCAGAGTCTGCCGCCGCGGGGAAACACCAGGCTGCCGCCGGGACCCTCGCAGAAGCGCGCGAATGGACGCTCAGATTGCGAGGAGAGAGCCTCCCTGACTGTCAGCTTGACAACTCCCAGAGTGTATTTTTGTGGTTTTTAAGCGAAGTCGGTTCCTCCACTCGCGAGTGGCCCGCGGGACGCCGCCGTCCGCGCGAGGGCCTCCCCGCGGCGCACCGCCGCCGCCCGGCCGCCGCTCCTCCGAGGCCGACGCCCCTTTGCCGCCTCCGCGGCCTGCCGCGGCGCCGCCCGGCTGCCCGCGGAGCACCGCTCGCCTCGGCCGAGCAGCACGCCGACGCGACGTGCCGCCGGTGCCCGCCCCGCTTTTCGACGTCGCTGTCCGCGGCCTCGCCGGCTGTCTGCTCGAGGCCGCCTTCCGTGGAGCTCAGAGGAGGGAAAAGGCCTCCGTACCGCTACCCTTCCCTCGTCTGCCCCCTTTTTGGGGTCTCCTGGGAGGCCCTCGTCGCCACGGACGGATTCGTCTCGAAATTCTGGTCAGAAGGCACCCTGGAAGACGTCTGGGGAGTAGCAGTATCGGTCCGTTTTGGTTTCCCCAGAAGCTGCCCTCCGACTCCGCGGTGCTGGGGCCACGCCGTGCCAAGAAAGGAGGGCTGGGCTGCCGCGCAGCCGCCGTGGGCGCCCTGCGTGTGGCGCCCCGCTCCCCCGCGGCGATGCCGCCGCGCTGGCTGGCAGGAGGCCGCTTGAGTGCGGCGTCAAAGGACTCGGTGCCCATCACCAGCCTGGAGCATATCCTGATCCCGATGCCTTGCACCGCATCATCTCGGTGCCGATCTCAGGGATTCCCCTCAGTTTCTGCGAGCGCATCCCTGATATTGTCATCGCCTTTTGGCTTGTCAGCCCCAGGGATGGGCATCAGTTCGAGGGTGGTCAACCCAGCCCCAGGAAGGCGTGGGCCCCGAGGCTCCTCGTCACGCCCTCGACGCCTCGAGGAGTGCAGCGGGCGGCGGGCCCCTGTGCGCGCCGAGCCCTGCGCTTTCGCGCCCAGGACTTGCCGAGCAGCTGCTGCGGGCGCCCAGCTCCCGAGGCCCGCCCACCTCCTCCTCCTCCTCCTCCTCCTCCACCTCCTCCTCCTCCTCCTCCTCCTCCTCCACCTCCTCCTCCGAGCCTCCTCCTCTCCTCCTCCTCTCCTCCTCCTCCGAGCCTCCTCCTCCTCCTCCTCTCCTCCTCCTCTCCTCCTCCTCCTCCGAGCCTCCTCCTCCTCCTTCTCCTCCTCCCTTTCTCCTCGGGCGCCTCGGGGCGGGGCCGACTGGGCTGGGCCGCAGCTGCGGGCGGAGTGCTCGCCGTGCTCCGCCGCCGCCCGCCGCCGCCCGCCGCCGCCCCGCCGGCAGAGCCCGCGCCGCTCTCGAGCCCCGCCGCCGGCAAGCCGCTGCAGCGGCCGCTGCCGCCGCGCTGCTGTGCCTCGCAGCGCTCTCCCCGCCGCCGTGGCCCTCCGCCGCCGCATTCGTGGGTGGCCACACGCGAACCCTGCCCCTACCCCCCACGATTTCTGAGGGGGAGGGTGGGGTTCACTTCG